CCAGCTGGGAGACCATCCTTTCCATAGGGAGCCCCAAATCCCCCTGCACCAGCACCACCAACCCCTGCTCCAGCTGGGAGACCATCCTTTCCATAGGGAGCCCCAAATCCCCCTGCACCAGCACCACCAACCCCTGCTCCAGCTGGGAGGCCATCCTTTCCATAGGGAGATCCAAATGCCCCTGCACCTGAACCACCAACACCATCAGCACCTGCTCCCACTGGCCGACCATCTGGACCATAGAAAGCCTCCATTTCTCCTATGGAACTGCCACCTGCATGAGGTAGAGCCCCATCTCCACCTGAAAGCCCACCTGGACCATACAGTGAGCCAGACCTTCCCCCCTGACCTAACTGAGCACTGGCATGAGGTGTCAGGCTGTCCTTGTCATAAGGAGCCCCTATTTGTCCCTCTCTGTTTATCCCTGCTCTGTTCATATCACCCACAACTGGATCACCATCCTTGCCATGGTGGAACCCCATTCTGCCTGCCATCTCAGCATTCGCAGCGCTCCTCCATGCTCCAGCCCCTGGACCAGTCCTGCTGAACAAATCCCCCACACCATCTCCCACTCTGGCCGAATCAGGACCAAGTCCATCTGGCACAGAACTTCCATCAGTGGCACCAAATCTCCCAACACCCCCAAAGCCAGCTCTGTAGTTGGGGTCACCTAAATTCCCATCTTTGTCATGCTGAGAACCCAAACCTTCTCCATCAGCCATGTCAATGTTACCAACGCCCAGCACACCCTCGCCTCTGCCAGCCACAGAATTCCGTTCCCCTGCTCCTCCTGCTCCATCACCAGGACCTTCTCTGCCTGTCACAAAGTCCTTGGCATGCACAGGCCTTAATCCACTTTTGCCTCCTAAGCCTTTTAATCCAAAGATACTGCCATCATTTGTCACTGAGTCTCCATCTAGATCTGCTCCAGAAAACTGTCCAGGCCCCATCCCTCCATTTATGTGGGTTTTGCGGAGCCCCTCTTTTCCCAAAAATATATGGCTTCTATCATCAGTATCCATGGAGTGGCCTTGGCTGCTGCCTTGGCCTCTGTCTTGGCTGCTGCCTTGACCCTTCCTGTACCAGCCAGTTTTTTCCACGCCAGTGTCCATGGGATGACCTTCATCACCAGCACGTTCTTGGCGTTCTTGGCGTCGAAGTTTCCTCGCCCTTTCATTGTCTGCCATTGTTTCCTTCAGCCACTCTGATTTCTCTCTTTCAATTTTTTCAATTCCTTCTTCATCCTGTCTCTTCTTCCCTTTGGCATCTGTGTTGAAGTTGCATTGTTTGATTGGAGCAGATAGAATTTACAGAAAAAGAGAGGGAAACAAATAACATGTAGTCAATAGGTCACATACTGCATTAGTGGCCAAAGAAAATGTGTAAGCAATTTTATAAATTAATTTTAGGATACAGACACATAATACATTGGAATAAATTTAAATTCATTTCAAATCCTGATTTTTTTCAGTGTCACATTCAGACAATAAAAAGTTAATTAGAGACAATTATTTTTACTTAAAACACAACTTTTTTTGGTGGAAACACAGTTGTTATAACAAACAAACAAGATAAAACTGACAGAAAAACAAATTTCCAGCATGACAGGTCTGATTTAGAGGGGCTTAGATTGTATCTGGAACTCACTAGTTCCTTTTGCCTTCTCCTTCCAGCCCTGGAGGAGTTACAGAATATTCCATGCACAGAAGAGCCATCAGTTCTCACCCTTGAACTGGGATCTCACTGCTATGGAGACACTTTGCACATCTGGCATCCAGCTGTTTTAGGGATGCTGAGGACTAAAGATTCCAGATCTGTGAACAACTTTGTATTAATTCCAGATTCAGGCTGTTGTGAGAGCAGGTCACTCACTGCTTTGATTTCCAGGCTGGATATCACTTAGCAGAGCATTAACAGCTCAGTGAAATCCACAGACAGTTTTGCTTTTTCAGAAACCTGCACTGTTCCAGAGAGGATCCCAAAGGAAACCAATGTCAAAGCAAACCAGAACAACCACCTTTCAGAAGCAAAGAAATATGAGCCAGGTAACTGTTGATGTGCTGTGTTTCCCATCTTCCCAACTTCCTCTGAGCTCCTTCTAAACTGCCAGTTTGGACAGAAAAATAGTATCTAGCAAGATCATACTGATGATGGTATAGAATTCAGAGTATAGAAATGATAGTATAGAAAGCTCCCTGACCCCCTGCCTGCTATACTGTGGTCCCACTGACAGCTTCCTCAAAAATACATGGTGAGATATGGAGCAGTTTTTGATAACTGAGAACGTTGTAGATGTACAGCAATAAGCCAACAGGATTTGCCAGGATTAATTAAAAAGAGAAAAATTGGTCTCATTTGAAGAGGAAAGAGGGTCTAAGCAGACCTTCATTTTCCCAAATAGAATTTAGAATCACAGAATCACAGAATGGTTTGGATTGGAAGGGACCTTAAAGCTCATCCAGTCCCACCCCCTGCCATGGGCAGGGACACCTTCAACCTGGCCTTGGACACATCCAGGGATGGGGCAGCCACAGCTGCTCTGGGCAGTCTGTGCCAGGGCCTCCCCATTCTCAAAGGGAAGAATTTCTTTCCAATATTGCATCTAACTCTGCCCTCTGTCACAATGAAGCCATTCCCCCTTGTCCTGTCTCTCCATCCCTTGTCCCTTGTCCCTCTCCAGCTCTCTTGGAGCCCCTTTAGGCCCTGGAAGGGTCTCTAAAGTCACCTCAGAGCCTAAACATCCCCAACTGTATCATCCATGATTTAGGAACTAGAGGCTCAGCAATTAATTTCTCAGCATGGAAACATCTCCCTGGACAATCAGGCAGTGAGAGGAATGTTACTGTGTTAACACCCTCCATCCACACCCCAGGACTCACACTCCACGAGGAGCCAGGCGCTGGAGGAGCCGTGCCCCGCGTCCAGCGTGTACATGCCATTGTCAGAGGGCACCACGTTCTTGACAATGAGCTGGTGGGTGAGGCCATCAGGTGTCACAGAGATCTGGTGCTTCTGGCTGGCCTCCAGGGTGTGGGTCTTGTGCAGCCACACGGCATTGTGGCAGGGTGTGCGCAGGACACAGCAGAACACGGCATCGCCCTCCTCGGGACAGCGCACATCTCTGAGCGGCTGCTGGAACCTGGCAGGGATGGCTGCAATGGGAAAATCAGAGCTGTGGAAAGGCAACAGCTAGTTCTGTCCTCCCAGAAAAGCTTGTTGCAGCTGAGGGAAGAAAGAACAGACAGTTGTGATGCCCGTGAGCAACGGTTTAATGGGAAAAAGGAAACACGGAGGTGTGATCCTGTGACCAGTTCTGGAGGATGGACCAGCAGAAAAGTAGATGTTTGTGTTATTTTCTTCTAAGACGTTTATCCCACACATCACTGATGTGCTGACAGTTTGGAGTCATCAATGTATTCCTGCAGCACAACACTCGTATTGAGTTATATCATTATTATTCTGAGCTTACAGAAGAAAACTGTAGCATGGGGAAGTTGAGGAACATGCTCACTGTCATCCACAAGTCAGAGCCAAACCGGTAATTGCACCTAGACTTAGTCCTTTGGACTACAAATGCAGCACCTAAATCATACTATCACCCTCCTGCTCTTTTTCACCTGTGCCATTCAGGGAGCCCTTATTTGGCAACACCAAGCCAGTCCTCTGTAGTTCTCAGGAGTTACTGCTGAGCTTTCCACTTGCTCCCAGATAAAATTTTCCAGCAAAAAAACTCCACTTTTGTTACAGTTGTACATCACATACATAGAACTCAACTTCTCACCTTCAGCATCCAGCTCAGTGGAGAAAACAGGGACGTCCTCCACCCTAACTTGGTACAAGCCTGCATCCTCTGGCTGCACATCGTTGATGATGAAGTGGTACCTTCTCCCAATTCTCCTCAGGCAGTGCTTCCTGTACTCATCCCCCGTCCCGTAGCGGAGCCGCTGGCCATCCTGGGAAGAGAAGAAGTGTTCTCACAAAGGCAGTGCTCAACTGGTGCCAGGCATTTCACAGAATCAGAATCATAGAATATGCCGGGCTGGAAGGGACGCACAAGGATCATCCTGTCCAACCCTCAGCCCTGCACAGGCCCATCCCCAAGAGTCACCCCCTGTGCCCCAGAGCATCATCCAAACCCTCCTGCAGCTCTGGCAGCCTTGGGGCTGTGCCCACTGCCCTGGGGAGCCTGTTCAGTGTCAACCACCCTCTGAGGGAAGAACCTTTCCCTGAGATCCACCCTGAGCCTGCCCTGACACAGCTCCAGCCATTCCCTGGGGGCTGTCCCTGCTCCCCCCAGAGC